TTATACTTATATATATGCTTATACTTTATATATATGCTTATATTTTATCTATATGCTTATACTTTATGTATGGTTATACTTTATATGTATGCTTATACTTTATATATATGCTTATACTTTATATATATGCTTATACTTCATATATATATATAGAGAGAGAGAGAGACAGAGACAGAGACAGAGAGAGAAGAGGGAGACAGGCAAGAGGAGAGAAACTTTTTCACATTAGGTAGCAAATCTTTTTGCAGTACAGACTCTCAGAGGCCTTTGCCCTCCTGTAGAAAGATCCAACTCCTTATGCTGTTTGTACTCAGAGCTCTCTCTATAGGTCATGTGAAAACTAAATGCGCATCTCTGCTAAGGAGAGCTACAAGAACATACATGCTCTATTTATGTACCACATAACAGAAAATAGGTAGCTCTGGGGGCTTAATTGTAAGGAATTGTACTGCCAACACAAAGGCACAGAGTTTGAAGCCACCAGTTGCTCTGAGGGAGAAAGATGAGCAGTCTCCTCCCATGTGACTTACTGCCATTGTAAACCTCCTTGGAGGGTCAGCTATAGGTCAGTTCTGATTCATCTGGCACTCAACAATAATTTTCAAAAACTAATGATGTATTTTCACATTTATTAACTTTACTAACTTGTGTCCAAACTCATCAGTAGCTGTGGTTGTTGTTGCCTATCAACATCAGTGTGAGATTGGTTTCACTCTGAAACCATACAGAAAATGAAGATGTTAGAGCACCCTGGCTGAGGAAATTCAATGACATGGGATCCTCTAACAAACGACTCTTTTATTCCAGTTGGAAGCAGTTCTGTCGTAAATTCTCTTGACAGTCTGGTATGTCTGCAGATGTGTAGAATTTTTCAGAACCACCTGTATATTTAAAAACCAATGTAGATCTCCGCACAGCAGATGTTGCTCTGGAAAGAAAATTTCCATTTTAAGCATCACATATCCAGAAGATAATGATTTAAGACAAACCTAGAATATTCACATGTAAGCAATTTTAAGATGCTGGTTAGAAACCAGTCTCCAGTTCATATGTTTTTTCAAAACCTTTTAAAAAAACTTATACTAAATTTGACTAGAAAATTTCCCCCACAGGTTTTTGCGAAATTTCCCTGTTCTCCGTGATTCTGGAGGATGATTTTTAGTCAGTTGAAATATTCCTGAAAAAACCCACACAGCGACTGATTTTTTTAGACAGACTGTGACAAGTCCTAAGAAATAAGTTATTTTTAAGTGCTCTTGTCTATTTCAAGTGTGAAAAAAAAACCCACACCCTTTGAAAGGAAGAATTTATAAGAAGCCATTAGTTCAGGTTGCTGAATATTTCCAAATGAAAAATATGAGGATTGGTCTCAGATAAGCTCTTAGTACTAATTCTGGACATTTGCCATTGGCTTTTTTAAAGCTCTAGGCTGTTGCCTCTGTCACGAAACACATTTTCCTTCTCCCCCTGTGTTTTTAGGGTAACCCACTGGGAGGCAGAGGGCACATTTTCTCTCAGAAGACCCTTTGGCCTAGCACCCCACAGTTCAAGGTTTCTTTCTCTCTTTCTAATCCAGAGGGACCAGATACATCCAGAAGAGCTGATGTGATGCTCCATGAAACTTCCTAGCAGAAAGCCCATAAGAAAAATTATCCAATTTTACTCATTTCTCACCACCAGTTTTTGAAGCTCTGGTGACACATTTAGAGAGGGGAGGAAAAAAAGAGAAACACTTGAAATACTTCTCATTTCAGTTTAAATGATTTCATGTGTCTGACTTCTCAGGGTTCTTCTGTTTATTGCTTCTTAGAGCATTTTGCAGAAATGGCTGCTAGTCTCAAACGTCCAGATTCTGGTGCTTCCGGCCTCCCTGGAAGACCTGGACCCCCTGGAGCCCCAGGGCCTCCCGGACAGAATGGCTTCCCTGGCCAAATGGGGTTGCGTGGTCTCCCAGGTATCAAAGGACCCCCTGGTGCTCTTGGACTCAAAGGGCCTAAAGGTAAGCTCCTTCTCCATGTGGAAGCAAGTCTGCTTATTTTGAGCTGTACACCATACATTTCCAAGCTTAAAGAATTCACACAGTTTACTATACTCAAAGGTTTTTGTGAGGTAGGTAGATGCATTAATCTCTTATACTATAAAACCAAAACTGAACCTGCTACCATAGAATCAGGCCTGACTTGTGAGGACCTGCCCTCTGGTTTCTGAGGCTTTAAGTTTTCACAGGAGGAGATTTCCCATCTTCTTTCGAGTAGCTGATGGATTCAACAGTATGCTACCGGACTCATTTCTTGTCTATGGTGATGCTGAAAATTAGAACTTTACATAAAATTTTCTCAACCATGCTATTTCTTAAGAGGAGACCAAATACTAGAACTAAAGCCATGTGATTTTAAGTGACCTCATGGGTAGGCAGTTATACGCCAACCCAAAGGCAGATGGTTCGAATCATCAGCTGCTCTGAGGGAGAAGGATGGGCAGTCTCCTCCCATGAGATTTACAGCCTCTGACAAGATGCTGGAGGGTCAGCTAAGAGTAGGTTCTGAATTAATGGCAGTGACTTAACTGATTTTGAGAGCTGACTTCTTTACAATTAGACTCTACCTTAATTATATTACAAAAATATGCTATAGTAATTAGGAAAGAATCATTAGGCTGTGTTTAACTCTCTGGCACAGACTGTTAAATACTATCAGTTGAAAGACTGGCAGTTCAGACCATTCAAAGTCACCTTGGAAGGTAGACCTGGTGATATGCTTCTGAATGCTCACGTCATTGAAACCCTGCAGAATCGTTCTGCTCTACACACAGGAGTTTTGAGCCTGACTTGACCTGACAGCAATTAATTAATGAAAACAGAGTGATGATAAAGCTCTTCTTAGATGGCAGAAATCCTTAGAATGTTTGTATCTGCTGCTTAAACAAAGAAAATTGTTTAAACTTGAGAACATCTGTTTCTTCCACATTATTAACGTGTGCCAATCTCTTGCTTCCAGTATTTTCAGACAGTGGAGTTGTGTTGGTCAGTTTGTCAGCTCACCTTGTATGTGCCTGGCTGATTTACAGAGAGACAAAATAAAATACAGTTTCTATATCACGAGGAGTGACTGGGGAACTTAGAAAGATGTGGCATCAAAATCAATGTTGACCCCCCATTTTTAAAATAAATAACAACAACCAAAAATCACCAAAAACCAAACCCCAAAGTTGTGGGTAAGTATTATGGCACAAATGATCAGAGGACAAGCAAGCTACCTTTTTGGATCTGTAAAGAATTGCTGATGCAGTTGGCTAAACACTTTCTCAGCTGGAACAATTTAGTTAATTACATTTAATTTTTTTTCTTTTTTGGCATATACAGAGCTGCATGTTAAAATATGAGCCCTAATTGGGGCCTCTTGTAAGTCTGGCACACTTTCAAAGCTTTCAGAGGCTGGGCGCAGTCAAGTATATAGAGCGAGCGGAGTGCATCTTAAAGAGGATAGGGTGTTTTCTCTGAAAGAATCATGCAGCTATTGATCTTTGTTCTGTTTCTAGCTACTAGCTCAGAAAATCACCTTTCAGACAGTATTGCTCTGGTTAAACCTAATCCATGCTGAAAACAGTTTCTGAAGGTCTAATTGTGTGACTGAATTGTTGAGCCCAGCAAAGACTCCTCAGCCTTTTGTGAGTTCAGTTTAGAGCAGTGATTTCTAGAGAGTGGTCCTAGGAGCCCCAGAATCACCCAGGGATTGTTGGAAATGCAGATTTGAGAACCCGCTCAAGGAGGCCTTGAATGAAAATGCCTGACGTGGAGGCCTGTCAGTGGAGCTGGCTCAGCCCTGCAGGGGATGCTGATGCAGCTGAATGTCCTGGTCTAAGTTGTTACCATTTTTCTAGTGAAAATTACAGACTTTCAAAGTCCTCTGCCAATCAAACTCCTATTTTGTTAGGCCCAAAGGAAGTCTTCATACTGGGTATAGAGTTCAACTTTGAGTACCAGGAGTTAGCCTTAGTAGGACATTGAGATCACCTGGAGGCTGTGGAGATTACCAATATCTGCATCCTATTATCGTAGATATCCATAGATTTGAATATCAGGACTTTTCCCCCCTATAAGACTTTAATGTGCAGCCAGAATTGAGAACCAAAAGCTCTCAGCAGCAATGAATTGTGGTTACCTTGGCCTTAGTTGGCTCAAGTAGAAAAAACAAATTAATGGAAGAAAAGTAGATTTTCATATCTGGAAAATGGAAAATGCCTCTAACAATCAGTTTGCCAACTGTAGCAGGAGTAGATAAGGGATCTCCCTTAATATATTCAATATTAATGGCACATTCATAATCTGAAAGTCATGTGTCCTTTTCTGTTGGGTTTTTTTTTTTATTAATTGTTGCACATTTCCTCCCCCCTTTTCTCCTCCTCCCTAATCCATTCTGCAATGCACCTCTTGTTCTAGAGTATTCTCAAACATATAATGCTTTATCATGTATTCCTTTCAAACAGTTCTTCCCCTCACCTGTTTTAATGCAGTGTTATAAGTCCACTCTTTCCCCAATCCTTCTTCAATCCCCCCACGTCTGTCCTATTTTATAACAGCAGTGTTACGCAGTTTTTATCCTTTGTAACTGAAATATTTCGCTTAGCATAATGTCCCCAAGGCTCCCCCATGTTGTGTAATGTTTTAAAATGTCATCATTTTTCAATGATGCATAGTATTCCATTTTGTGGATGTACCATAGTTCATCTATTCATTCGTTTATTGATGAACACTTGGGTTGCTTCCATCTCTTTTATATTGTGAATAATGAAGCAATAAACATGTGGCTCTGGTTGCTTTAGGGTATATTCCCTACAATGCAATTGTTGGGTCAAATGATATTTCTATTTCCAACTTTCTAAGAGAGCTCCAGACTGCTTCCACGGTGGTTGTACCATTTTAAATTCCCACCAGCCGTGAATAAGAGTTCCAAAGACCCACAACCATGCCAGCATTTGTTGCTTGTTGCCCTGTTCAATTTTGTTATTGTTGTTGGGGTGAGATGATATATCATGGTTGTTTTGATTTGCATCTCTCTTAGTTAGGGATTTTGAACATATCTCTGTGTGCTTGTTTGCCATCTGAATGTCCTCTGTTGAAGTGTCTATGCATAGCTTGTGCCCATTTTGTGATTGGATCATTTCTTTACAAATATGGAATGCTTCATGAATTTGCATATCTGCCTTGCACAGGGACTGTGCTAATTTTCTCTGTAGCATTCCAATTTTAATATATATGCTGCCAAAGTAAGCATTTATTTTATGGTTTTCTTTTTTTAATAATTTTAATGAACATTTACAGAGAATTTGGATTTCTATTCATTCATTGCTGCACTTAAAGGACTTTTTCTCCTTTACTCTTTTGTCATGATTGTATTCACTTAAAGGGACATCTCCTTAGAGCTGGTTGTGTAGATAAAGGGGAAGTTTTATTTTCTTTCTTTTATCTGTCATGTTTTAGAAATGTTTGATTACTTCTGTATTCTTATTCCATCATGTATAGTTGCAGTTGAATTTAGCAGAAAACACAGTTTTCTTAATTTCCAAAAATTTGCTGCTTACATGTTCTGAGTATAAATACTCCACCATTCTGAAGCTTAAGTTTCTGGTTAGTTGGTGTTGTGGTCTGCCTTGGTAGGTGTTATTGAGCTGACCACAACATCCCTGTGAGCAACAGCTCTGAACCTCATCCTGTCTTGTGTTATCCTCACGCTCTCTGACACGCTTGAGTTCACTGTTACAGTGGAAACGAGATGAACTTATTTCCGTCTTGCCTGTTTTTCCTTGTGTGGTACAGAAGAGATAGTATTAGTCACGCTAGACAATGGACTTAGAGTCAGGGTCTCTTTCCTGAGAAATTGCTACAGAAATAATGTTTTGTCAAATCTTTTGACAATCCAGGCTGTGTTGTAATCACTGTTTTCTTCCTAAGCATTTTCATTAGAAACTAGTAGGAAAAAGTCTCAATAAAGTTCAATCACACTTGCAACTTTTGTTTTTCTCTTTTTTAAAAAAAATAGTGAAAGTTTACAGAAATATTGCGTTTTCATTCATACACTTTCCTCCATCCCCCTGCCCATGTCGCTTTTACACAGACTCCATAGAAACATGAACAACTTCTAACACATCTTTAAATTCAGTTTTCTAGTCTTACAAAGAAACTTTTCAAATGTTTCTGGTTTGGATCAATTTTAAGCTCAATTGAGTAAGGATGTATATTTTTAGACATTTTAGTGTGAGTCCAACAGATGTGTCGATATGTAAATGAAGGTTTGAGAAAATACATGTCATAACTGTGACTAACACCCTTTTCAGTATTAATATGCTCACACAGAGTTGGAGCATCAATTTACAGCTTGCAGTTGAATGAAATAAATAGCAACGAGGCAGCAATGGTTAGGCTCTTGACTGCTAACTGAAAAGGTGGTGTTTCAGTGCATTCCCATCCCCAGCTGCTCCTCAGGAGAGGAGGTCTGGCAATCTGCTCCTGTTAAGCTTACAGCCTCAGTCTGTCCTGTCCTATAGGGTCACCATGAGTCTGAATTGGTTCGACGGCACATAAGAGGCAGCAGTGAGAACTCAGTTGGTGAGACTCTTGTTTGTATGAGCTATTTTTCTCTTCAAAGAGCATATTTTCCTTCATGTAAAATTTATTTTATAAGTTCTGTGTATTTTTTGATACGACAGGCTAGAAAAAGTAGTTCTTTAATTTCCTGAGTTAGATTTTGTGCATCTTAGACAGAGACATGACCAGGGCTTGAAGAAGTCGATTAACCCTGTGATAAGCAGAAACCAGCAGCACGCATCGTTTGCTGCGGAGTAAGAGTTTGTACAGGGAGGCTCTGTCTTGAAGCCCATCTGAAATTTGTTTTTCTAGAATTGATTACCAAAAGACAAGCAGCACAACAGCTGAGACAGCAGTCTTTTTCCTAACATTGTACAGGTGGTGTGATTTCACGCCAGAATGTGTAAATAACTTTAGCTTTCACCACCACTGTGAAAACTAGATTTTAATTTATAATCTCCATTTCATAGCGTCATAATATGTGGCACATTTAGAGATTTCTCTTCTCATTGCAAGTCTCCAGAGTTATAGCGATATGACATTTAAATTGCTAAGTTAACAAGAGTGCTTAAGCTGTTAGTTTTCAAATAATAATTGTCATTTCTTCCTGATACAGCAGAGCCATATTGATTATGAGTATAAAATAACGAGCTTAAATGAGCACAAGTCTCACCTGAGGTTCATATTCTTACATGGCATTTATATAAATGTAAAGGGATATGAACTATAGTTGATTCATCAAAAAAAACCCCTTACATTCACATGAAGGCATTCACAGCCAAAAAAAACCCACAAAACTATGGTGACTAAATAGTCACTTCATATTAGAGATTTTTTAAAAAATATTTGACTAATATGCAAATGCATATAGTGTGCATAATCTTCCTTTTTAAAATGGTACAAACTTGTCTCAATACTAAAAGATTAAGTCTGAAATAGAGCTATTAAAAAAAAGATTAAAAGTCCAAAGTAGATGTTTGGGGAAAAGGAATAAGCAAAGAATTTGTCACAGAATGTCACTGTATCTCCTAATAGTATTCTGGTGCATAATCTAAACCTTACTTTCTCCATTTTACAGGAAGTCTTTCCTAATCGGCACATAAAAAGTTGTCTAACCTGTCTTTCCAGCTGCCTACTGTTCCGTTCTGTGGAAGTACCCAACATATTTAACCTTTTTACTGGTCACTGAAGTTTTCAGTTTTGTGCCGCTTAACAAGGCTGCAGTGAGCATTACATGCATTTTAGTTTTTCATTAAAAATATAAATATACTCTCTATCTCTTGGATAAATTTCTAGAAGTGATATTGGTGGATAAAAATGGTGCTTCCATGTGTAATTTTGATACTTTCGAATTACCCTACCAATAAGATTTTATCAGTTTACATTCTTATCAGGCATGTGTTTCTTCAAAGACTTACCAGCATACATTTAATTATGTTTGGAATTATGGTCTATCATATAGGTTAAACATTATAGACTTGCTATTTTAAATTTCTATTTCTTTTGTTAAGAATTGAAGCCAGGGACATTTCTATATGTCTAAGAACCATTTTTAAAAGCAACCACCCTGTTTATATAATTTCTTAATTTTCTATTATGTTTGCCTTTTTTGTTGATCTTGGGAAAGCTTCATATTTTGACTCATAATTGAATTCCAACACAAAACTGAGGTTTAAAATTAATTTTCTTTTGTTTTCTCCTGGTTCTTAAATTATACTGGAATACTTGATCCATTTGTGATTTATCTTGAAAACAAGTATATTATATGGACCCAACTTTCTTGCCAGTGGAAAAGGTTACCACTTTTCCCAACGTTATCGAATTGTTCAGCTCCCCCTTCAATTCTAAGATGACTTTTCCTACAGCCAAATTCACATAAATATGACTTTCTAATTTGTTTATCTTTCAGTATCATACTTTCAATGGCAGGTAAATTCCTTTCATGTTATTTTGATTATTATTTGAAATTTTGTGGCTGTTCTGACTTACATATTCTTCTGCACAAACTTTAGAATAATTTTTTATTTGGTTAAAAAATAACTTGCATTTTTTTTCTTTTTTCGTTTTTTTATAGTGATTTGCTTACAAAATTTGAATTCATTGTGATAACTTGTATTTTTATTGAGTTCATGATAGCAACACAGTTTGGGGTAAACTAATGCCAATTGATGATGATACCTTTTGCATGCAAAATCATTTTCCGATCTTGTATCTTTTAGAATTTTTTCATGTTGAAATTGTTCAAGTCTGATCAAACATTCTCCTAGTTATGGAATATTTTCATTCCTCTTATAATAGGATATTTTTCTAGTCTATCATGTAACTGTGTGTTGTTTGCATATATGAAAAATATTGACTTAGTGCTAAAGAGTTACACTGTAACCCAAAGGCATGTTCAAATCCACTGGCTGCTCTTTAGGAGAAAGATGGACAGTCTCCTTTCATGAGGTTCAACTGCCTCTGACAACCCTCTGAAGGGGCAGTTATGAATTGATTCTGACTCCACAGCACATAGCAATGAATGTTGATTTTGTACCCTGCTATGGTAGTTTTTCCAGTTGACTTGATATTGTTTTTAGATGTTTGTTTACTTCAATTGAAGATAGGAATGGTTTAATTCCTCTAACCCTAAATTTAAAGCAGTGGGTAGTTTTCTTGCCTGTAACACAATGGCTTCTTGTGTTTCCCACTTAACTTTGGGGTTGCTGTTTGGTCATGTTAAGGAAATAGCCATTGATCATTCTTTGACTGACTGCTTTATCAAGCATGCATAGCCAAGCTGTTAGATGTCTTCTTAGTATCTCTGTATATAATTTTATTTTCCCTCCCGCTTGTAGTTGCAGCAGGTGCTCTGGAGTCAATTATGACTCATAGCAACCGTGTAAGCAACAAAACAGAACCCTGACCTGTCCTGCTCTGTCCTCATGAGCTCTCAAATGCTTGAACCCAAAGTTGCAGTCAGTGTCAATCCATCTTGTTGAGGGTCTTCCTCATATGATTAATGAATGTATTTTTAAATTATTATTTTCAAATAGGTTACTTTCATTTTTGTCCTTAGGCAGCCACTGTGAATGGGAATCTAAGACTATGAGTCCATGATTTCCTTCATAAACCCAAGTTTCCATGAGCATCTCTGGGACTCATAGCTGGAAGAGAGGCCTGAGGTTTCCGATATTAGAGCTTTCTCCTCAGCCACACGTTCCTTTGATGTCAGAGTTATTTTAACATCCTCTCACTGAATTATGTCTTTGTCTATATAGTTCATTTCTGAACTATATCGGTTCAGAACTGAACTGAATCGGTTCCTTGTGCTCTGTTTTCTGTGAACACCGACCTCATCTTGAACACTTTCTTCATTACAGTCCTTTGTCTTTATGTACTCTTTTTTTTTTTTTTAATTTTGTGTGTGTCTGTATCATCAAATCAGATCTGACTGGTCAGAAGGAGATTGCCCTTCCTTCTCCAGCAGAACATCTGGTGAATTCGAACTGCATACCTCTTGGATTGCAGTGCAGCTTCTTGCCTCTAGGCCACCAGATCTTGCTTGTCTTTATGTATTCTTAAGTATAAGAATATACAACCTCTGATTGGAACAACTTACATACCCTCATATTCAAGCTTATGTTTAAGAAGGTGTTTAATCCGGCATACCGTTGAGGTACCAGGGTCAGGCTCTCTTGTCCAGATGCCTGGATGGTGTCTCCAACTTAGAAATCCAAAGGCACTATTTTTGCCTCCTGATACCTCCAGCTGCACTACCCATTGTTCCTGGACACTGCTTCATGGATGCCACTGCCCGCTGAATTTTAGCTGCTGACACAAAGCAGGTGGTTTGAATCCTCCTTGGGAGAAAGATTAGTGATTTGATTTTGTGTACCGTCAAATTGGAACCGACTCATGGCTGACCCTTGGGCAGACTTTCAGGGGCAGTTTGAAGCGCGTGACTTTGGGATTCCTGCCACTAGGCCACCACCATAGGTCACCATAGCTCCCTCTGAAAAGCCAGAAAAGCATCTCTCAGTTGGTTCTGACTAAATGGCAATCCGTTTGAAGAGTTTTATGTCTACAGTATATTTGTGACAATTTCATGATCTTTTTCACTCCTGAATTTAGCTGTTTATAAAGTTTTAAAAATAAGGAAGTTCAATTTTATATAAATTTACTGGAAAGTAACATTTCTTTATGCAATGCAGGTGACCTGGGAGAAAAAGGGGAGCGTGGCCCTCCAGGAAGAGGACCCAAAGGTTTGCCTGGAACTACAGGCCTCCCAGGTACGTGGGCAGATGTCAGGATCGGGCAGAGGAACTGGTCTTAAGTGGGAATCTGAGTTGGAGAATATTGTAAAAGATTTGCTGTTTGATTACTTTGCTGAATCAAGTGGTACTCCTTAATGCTGCCATAGCTTTTTAAGATCAGCTTTAGTAAAGAGTTAAATGTGACCTGTAAAGTCTCAAAAGGATTCTTAGGGAGAATAATAGGTGTCTGAGCCGGAAAGAAATTTCTTATACAGCTATTTTAATAAAAAGCACATCAAGGCCCAGTCACAATGCATTTGTTATAAATATTCTGAATGAATAGGGTCCTTTCTAGTTTTGTTCAGTGGGTAGTTTCCTTTGTTTCTTTTAAGCAAAAGCCAGAGCAGTTGGAAAACAAATCCAAGTTTCCAGCTACTCGTGCTGCACAGGGAATAACTGAACCTTTGTGATGAAGGCTCACCTTTCCAACAACTCATACAGGCATGAATAAAACCCAGCAGTATGAGTAAACCAATAAATAAACCCCAGCTTTCCTTCTAATAGCCACAAAGAACCACAGGCAAGCCACAAGCCACGAGTCACTGCCGTGCCAGTCGACTGAGGTAACACAACAGCCGCTGTGTGAAAACCTCAGCGTTTTCTCAGTGGGTGTCTGTTCCAGCTTTGCACACTGGCTGCCGTGTCACCTCTGGGAACTGATGAGGCTGGAACACATGTGTTCATTGGGAACTGACCCACAGCACAGGAGCACAGGGCAGGGCTGAAAGCCAGCTCAGCCTTGGAGAAGGAAAGCAGTCACCCTCCCCACAGAGTACCTTGTAGCTGCAGAGGCAATGGCTCAGGAAGGCACTCAAATCTGCAGATACCTGGGGTTGAAGAGACATGAGTGAGAGGGATTGAATGGAAAAAGAAGTGTACCTGTGTCTGCTGTGGATTTGAACAAACTTAGCTGAGAGAAATGTAGAAAAAGGAATCACTTCCTCCCAATTCTGCCAAAGGCTTACATATTTAATCAAGGCAATAATTGTAGCCAGAACCATCATTGTTTTCTAATTATCCATTTCATTGCTCTTGGGGAATTGCTTCCTCATTGAAAGAAAGTTTTAAAAAATGAGTACATGTAGAGATAGTTCAAACACTGACTTTTTAAAAGTGTGATTTATGACTCTATCGATATAGTTTCACAATTTGATAAAAGGCTTTTACAGTTGGAGAGGAAGAGGAAATCAGATTGGAGCTAAATGAGACCAAGAAAAGAAGATTGTAGATTATAACAAAGTCTGAATTTCTTAATAGATGTTTATTTAGAAGAGAGAGGAAAGAAAATGGAACTTACCAAGAACTTTTGGTTTTTTTTTTTCTTTACCAGTGGTAGACATAGCAAGTTTTAAAGCTGATGGGCTATCTTTAGCACAATCAACTTAATTATCTACTTCTTTATAGGATTATCAGACAATTTCCCCTCCCAGTTTTGAAGAAACCGTGGTGGCATGGCAGTTAAAAAACTGAACTGCTAATCACAAGATGAGTGGTTTACCAGCTGCTCTGTGGGGGATGCTGAGCCAGCTTCAGGAAGCCCTGGGGAAGAGTTCTAATGCATCCTTCAGGTCCATGTCAGTGAGCCCATCTTGTTGAAAACTCTCAACACATATTGGACCAGTGCCTTGCCCTGCTGGTAATATCTTTCCTGAAAACAGATGATAGTCTGTAGTGAGTCTTTTCAGAAAATCTGATGGAAAGACAATCTTTCAGCTTTGAAGGGGGAAACTTGATGAAAGCCCTTCGGCTGGTGTTGAGTCAGACTGTCACCCAGGGACACGTGACTTCCCACAGGCAGTAAACCTTCTGGGATAGCTCCTCAGATGGGGCGAGGGAGACAGGGCTCCCCAAACATGGCTCCTCATGTCATCTACAGGGCCACCACTGACTGGCTCCTTAGTTAATCAGACATTCACCTGTAAGCAAAAAAGGCTCCACACGTGGCCTTCATCTCACTTCACTTTTTAAAGAAATTGTAAACATTTTATATCTAGCTTTAAATTTAGTACCTAAATCTGATTAAGAAGACATTTTTTTTTAAACTCCCCTTCAGGAGTCCTAAGACATGTCCTTTTCCTTCCTGGAAAAGGACACTTCTCCCTTCTTGCCCTTTTGTTCCTGGTCATGTTGGGTGCCTACTGGTGGATTTCAACTGAAAGTGACTCTGTGACAGAGAAGGACGGTCCCCATGGCAAAGCATGACTGCCATTAACTAGCTTTGCATTTGGGCCAGTTACTTAATTTCTCTGTGCCTGTGTTTCTCTTCCTGTAAAACACTAATGATATCTCCAGGATATTCTTAATTGTAAGGAGGGTTTCTGGCACTTTGAAAGTGTTAAAAAGAATGTTGGCTCTGAGTACTGTGAATATAAGAACACATTCACTTTTCTGCTTTTTTTAGGGAAGATGAAGAAGAGCTGGTGGCAGAGCTGGGCTCGGTCAGGCCCTGGAAGCTCTTTAGTGGATTTAGATCCACTCCCGCACACCAGAGCTCCCCTTCATGGAAATCTGCCTCAGCTCAAATCACAGCCCTAAAGTGCTGGGCTCACAGTACAGGCACTCCCTGCACATAAACATCAGGCATAGAGATAATTGCTGTTGTTGTTGATTGCCATCAAGTCAAGCATGACCCATAGCGATCCTATGAACAGAAGGCCTGAAGCCTTTCTATAACGATTTTCATTTCTCCAAGTTCATAGAGTTTCCAGAGGCCTGTGGTTCAGGGAGTGGATGCCACTCCTGCTTCCAAACTTGTCTTAAACTGGGAGCTGCACCAAACACAGTCTATCATGGGTAACCATTACGGCATTACTTTAGACTCATCCTTTAGTATTTATACATCTGCCCTCACTTTGAAATGATTAAACAAACACTTTAAAAAAAATCCTGTAGATTCTGTCCCCGAGTCACTTCTGACGGCTGGGGATCCTCTGCTTGTTTCTGAGGCTGTAAATCTTAACAGGAGACTGTTCATCTTTTCCTTGAGCCACTGGTAGATTCGAATCTCTAGAGATCGTACCATTTGGGCTAGTAGCACCACACACTTCTGCCCCCAGAGCTTCTTACCCTCACTGGCAACCAATTCTTTATCATAATCACGTTTGCTTGCTATCTGTGCAACTTTTAAATTATTGAAGGTTTTCAAACCTTGGCTTGCACAGTGAATCGAGTGGAGGGTCAGCTGAAGCATGTTTGACTCGATAATAATGAGAGAGAGAGAGAGAAACCGCAAACAAAAACCAGAACTGCCAGCCTTCAGTTGACTAGCTCACTGTGATGCTCCACTGGATTCCAGAGGCTGTAAACGGCATCACTAGATAGCCTCGTCTTCCTCCAGCAGATCACCCAGGTTTACCACTGTTGAGTTCATTCCAACAGATAGCCACCCTCCCTCTGGCTTCCAATGTTGCAAATCTGTACAGGAGATGACTCATCTCTCTCCCAAGGCGCTCTTAGTGGGTTAAAACTCCTAACGTTTAGGTTAGCAAGCTGATGTGTTGTATTTATGCCATGATAGTTTGTTGTTTTTTTTCCCCCTGCATCAAAGTAAGGCTAAAGAAGAACTATGTGCACCTGCTTGGACCTACTTACAAATTCATCTGAATGATTAGGAGCTGATCTTGTTTGTAATCTGAAGACTGTCTGGAAATCATTGTACTGTGATAAGCCTTTGGTGGGCTGGGTCATTATTTCCCTGGTAAAGAATGTGTTTTCTGATCTCTCACAAACATAATAATAGCAACAGAATTTTAGGACTTGAAGGAACCTTTAGAAGGATTCTTTGTAGGAGCTTTGAGTTGTAGTGTTGGAGAAGAGTTCTGACTATCCCATGGACTCCAATAAACAGGTATGTCTTGGAAAGGGTGTAGCCAGAGTGCTCCTTGGAGGCAAGGATGATGAAGCTTCATCTCTCATATTTTCCACATGTGAGGAGAGGCTGTACCTTGGAAAGGGATATCATATTTGGAAAGGTCAACGGTAGAGAGGAAGACCCCCAATGAGATGGATTTTTAATGGTGACTGAAGCAGTGAACTCAAATATAACAGAGATGAAGAAGGTGGCACAGACTAGAACACTATTCAGGTCTGTTGTTCATAGGGTCTCTGTGAGTCGTACTTAATGGCACCTATCAGTGACCAGAACAATGTAGGAGCTTGTATAGAATCTTCTGGCTTAAATACACTTTTTACCTGAGAGGAGTCCTGGTGGTGTAATGTGCTGTGTGTTGGGCTACTGATTGAAAGGTTGGTGGTTTTAATCCAGCAACCACTTTGCAGGAGAAAGATGGGAAATCATCTCCAGTTACGATTTACAGACTTGGAAACTGGATTGGAGAGTCAGTAGGAATTGGAATGGACTCAATCAATGGCAATGCTGGTGTCTCTCTGGAGACTAAGGTGCGCCTGATACAGGCCATGGTCTTTGCAAGCACTTGTTATGCGTCAGAGAGTTGGACAATGACTAGGGAGGATAGAAGGAGAATTGATACCTTTGAGCTGTGGTGTTGGAGAAGAGTATTGAGAGTACCATGGACTGCTAAGAAAACAGATTCATCCTGGAGAGGGTTAAACCTGGCTGCTCCTTGGAGGCAAGGATTCTGAGTCTTCGTCTGACGTACTATGGGCATGTTGTAAGGAGGGACCTTGGAGAGGGAAATCATGCTTGGGAGGGTCCAGGGACAGTGCAGGAGGGGAAGGTCCTCTATGAGATGCATTGATTCAGTGACTGGGGTAATCAAGATGGGAGTTATCAGAGACAGTGCGATTGGCACAGGACAGAGCAGAGTTTAGGGCTGTTGTAGGGTCGCTATGAGTCGCAAGTGACTCGAAGGCACATAACAACAACAATAATCTAAAAGTTGACTTTTTAAGTAAGTAAGGTGGTCAATTCAAGTTTATCTAGAGGTGCTTTGAAAGAAAGACCTGGCAATCTACTTTGAAAAAAAATCAGCCATTAAAGCCCAATGGAGCACAGTTTTACTCTCAAAGCTCATGAATTGATTTAGTGTCGATCTGTAATTATCATCATTTATCTTACAGGAAACTCTGTAGCATTTTCTGTGGTGAGTTGTATATTCCACCGTAGCTGGGTGACTTGGGACATGTTCCCTAACCCCTCTGATCAAGATTCTTTTCCTGCCTTCCTGTTGACTTTAGACAATACCTGCCTCTTCCCAAAATACTTGAGTTTTTACAAGAGGCCAGTACCCAGGGCCCACGGTTACATCAAGACTAATAATGCTCTATCCCTGTTGCCACCTAATGCACAATTTTGGAGACTAGGTCTTTGGTATTTGAGATTTTAAGAAGAATATTCTCTAATAGATCTTGACCTCCTTTTTGTATATTCAAACTCACTAGGAGAAGCAGTAATTTAAATGAAGAATGGGATATGTGTTGAACACATGTGATTTGTGAGCTGCGATGCTTTCCCACCCTGTATGTGGATGTTACAGTCAGCTCAGTGATAAAAGATTCTATTTTTTTGGTAACGTTTGCAGATATGAGCTTTTCTATTTGAACATAAACAAAGCAAAATAAAGGGTATACTTAGTGTAGGCTTACATTTTGCAGTACTATTTTCTCTTATTTCCATTGCTTCAAACTGTTTTATTTGTGAGGTCTAATGGAAGCCATTTCACACCAATACTTAAACACAGGCTGCTTTGTCAAATGCCACACAACTAATCTCAGTAAAAGGTGAAAATTTGGAGAAAGTTCCAAACACATATACAAAGTTTATATAGCCATTAAATTAATAGCCAAATACTCTATTTTGTGGTACAAATTACATACAGACTTTTTATTTCAAGAGCCTGCATATACAGCCTTATTCATTCATACTGTTTTAAGGAAAAGGCAGATTCCAGAATATTCCAGCTGGGATTGGCCTCCACCAGTGTAGCATTACTGCCCTCTAGTGTTCTCACAGAGAATGGCATGTTGTTAGGTGAATCAGTTCTGAACCATTCCCTATCCTGTGCAATCTCTGATACAGGTGAGCCCTCTGCTGTACCCACTGTGTCAATCCACCAGGTTGAAGGTGTTCCTCTTTTGCTGCCCCTCCACCTTCCCAAGCATCGCGTCCCACCTCTCCTAGTAACATGTCCAAAGTAAGCTTTTGACAGAGTTTTGTTATCTTTGCCTCCAAGGAACATTCTGGCTGCACTTTCTCCAAGACACTCTGTTCTTTTGGTAGTCCATTGGATATTAATGTGCTTCTCTAGCATCACAGTTCGGAGGCATCAATTCTTCTTCTGTCACTCATATTTATTGTCCAGCTCCCAGCAGCATAGCAAGTGCTTGAAAAGACCATGGTCTGAATCAGGCACACCTTAGTTCCCAACATTGTTGCTCCTAAATTTGGAGAGGTCCCTGACTGCAGACTTTCCCAGTGCAACACACTTCTTCACCTCCTGACTGTTGCTACCAAGTGACATAAGCATTTCTTTTTTAAAATCATGAAATATTTAGTAATATTTTTTCCATTTCATCTATCAATTGTACATGTTTAAAATTAATAGTGAAATAATGTAGATAGAAGTATTTTCACAAATAGCAACAAAAATCACTGATTTTTAATTATTTGAACTGAACTTCATTAGTACCCATTTGCTAGGACATAATAAAGCACATAAAATATATGGGAAAAGTATTTTTAGAGTTCCTTGAAATTTCAGAAAACCATGCAATTATGAGAAAGTTTGTTTTCTGACTGACCCATGAGGCAGGCAGGTGAAATGAAAATACATCAGAACCTTGCTGTATGTCCTTAGATTTGCAAAGCAGCTTACAGAAATTTCATTAATGTCATTGCTCAGGCTACACATGTAAGCCCATTTTGTGAACTGACATGTTGACTTACCTTTTCTACTTGAAAAACTTGAACTATGACATGGCTTTACCCCAGCTCTAGGCTTGCACACAATCCCTGAGAGCAAATACCCCATCCAGAGCGTCTCAGAAACTTTTGTAGTGAGGTAGGTTTGTTCTCTGGACAGGTGGGAGGACATAAACACAGGAAAATAACGTTAGTTTGTAATGACACTTAGAGTTCTGGATAATTAACATTCATTTGCTCCCCTTGTGCCTTTTTATACTTCCTTATATGACATTCAATGGCATGAATTAAATGACAACAAAGAAATGATAACAAGGTATACAACCCAGGCATGGTCTGTGCGATGCCTACAGAGTTTGCAAATAGACAGATTTGTAAAACCTGACATGGACATATAGGAGTAGGGGGTGAAGGTTTTCACTCTCAACTCCAAGGCTTTTCTACATACATTTCCATGGACATTTGTTCAGCCTTTCTAAGTCTCAAATTCCACAATAGGCAAATGGGGTCAACACCATGGGCCTGCTTTGTAACTAGAGATGTGGGAAGAGACAAAGTGATTTATGAACAATGATGCTGATGACAATCCAGTCAGTCAGGGCCTGAAGGGTCAACAGATGCATTTGCCAAAGGGCAAATGGGACCTGATGTGCTTTTTATAGAGTAAATCAGAAGTGGTCAGGATGACTCTGTCAAGTCTAGTCTCGAAAGATAAGTATGAACCTAAAAATGTTCAGCGAGTTGAAACTCTTCTCTTTTAATGCGTTAGGGTGGAAAACAAAAAACTGAAAAGCACAAAAAAAGACCTTCTAGATTTTTAATTTGTATAATAGAGAATATTTTTTTTTAATTTCAGGCTTTAGATAGAGGGGTGGCTCTACATAGGATAAATAGAAATATTAACATTTGTTTAAAAATGAACTATTATCCTGGTGGTGCAATGGTTCTGCACTCAGTTATTAACCTGAAAAGTTGGCATGTAGAACCCACCCAGTCAAGTCCAAGTTCAGTGGAGAGATTTCATAATCATCATTTATCATTTAAAAATGTACAGTTATGGTGCCACTGTTGTAAAACAGGACTGACATCGGGGTTGGGGGGAGACTGAGAAAGATGGGTTAAATAATGTATACTGCAATAGATGAGGGAGAAAATGGTTTAAAAGGGATATGTGATTAGGTATTTTGGTCATGATGGGAGTCCAGAACGAAGGCTGCGTAGTGGAGTGGACCTGGGGAGGAGGGATTGTAAAACAAAGAAAGTTTTTCTTTTACTTTTCGAAGAGGGTAGTGTATTGGGGGGACAGTTGGGAGGAGAGAAAAGTGCAACAATGAAGGAATGGAAATCCAAATTCTGCAAATTTTAATTGAAATGAATAATAAAGTTAAAAACAAAACAAAAAATAAAATCATATTTAAAAAAGAAAATATAAAAACAATAGGAAAAAAAAAGTGTGCAGTTGGGGGTCATACTAGCCTTTGCTGTCCTGAGGTCTCTTCTGCTCACGTGTGCAACCCTCTGTTTTAGGTGACCCAGGCCCTGCCAGCTTCGGGAAGAACGGTCGGGATGGTGAGCCAGGTCCTCCAGGGGTGGCGGGAATTCCTGGGGTCCCTGGGCCTCCAGGACCTCCTGGCCTCCCTGGATTCTGCGAGCCAGCCTCCTGCACTGTTCAGGCTGGTCAAAGAGCATTTAGCAAAGGACCAGATCAGTGACAGGCTTAGAGCTGACGGTCTGCATAAACCACGCCTGGCAAAGCAGTTTGCAGGAGAAACATCACTGGAAGCTGGGGCAAAAGATGACAACGTATTTACCTTCAACACGATTTCAGATGTCCTACTTGACTATCAGACTTAGAACAATGGTGCTATGCAATAAGCCTTCTTTCCTTTTCCTTGGAGGGAAGATGGCAGAGTCATCTGGGAAGAAAACCCCTCTCTTTAAATAAATTTATAATCCTGTTCCCAGGATCTTAACTTTTCTAGTGTGCTACATATATGTGATATATCTTAGGCCTCTGTGCCACTAAACAAAGCCAGCTGCTAGGCTTACCTCAGTTGCTGTAGTTGCTTCCCTTTTCTATCTAAATGTTGTTTTCAGATACTGTCAGCTGTATAGAGCACTTGCAAACAAGTTCTATAGAGACCCCACTAGAATTCCACACCATGGTGCTTCAAATCCCGATCAATGTGCTCTCCTGGGAGTGGTAAGAGGGTGCCCTGTCAGCCCAAAGCATTTCCTGCTGTTTTTCACATTCAATTTGGATTTTTTATAGAATTGTACTGTGTTTAATCCCATTTAATTTTTGAATTGTGAAAGCAAAGGAGGCGTTTTAACGTCATAGCACTCATAAGTTTTATTGATAAGACTATTTATTTTAAAGGTTTGAGGTTAACATCTCTGGTTGTTTCAAAGATGCAATAAATATGATTTCTTAATCTTTTAAATGTTTCCTTATAATGATGTCCAAAGAAAAGGAGTCATTGAGCTTATTTAGATACATTAAAAATGTAAAAAGATTATTGATATTTCCTTCAGTATGTTTATAGTATCAATGCTTTTCTTCTGCACAGAGAATTTACAGAGCCCTGAATGTCCCTTCTGTGGGTGTTAGCTTGTGAGAGAAATACTGAAAGTGTGTGTGTGTGTGTGTGTGTGTGTGTGTGTGTGTGTGTGTAGGAGGGAGAGCATTGTGGCCTTTTTTTTCTTATTCTAATAGAAACTATACACTCATTCTCCAGAAAATTGCACAAATCCTATGTCATACATGTCTTCACACTCTTTCAGAAATTTTGAGCTACTTTTTAATCTTCTGAGTTAAGATCCACTGTTTTTATGTCAATGGCTTGTCAGTTTCCTCATGTTCAGAACTTCACAGCTGGACAAATGATTTATGCTTCACTATTTTTCTTACAGATTTTATAAAGGCAGCTCAAGTAAAACACTGTCTATCTTAACCCACCACATAGGTATTGCTTGATGACCTAAGCATTTTATTACTGTTTACACAGTATGCTGTTTCACCAACATCCATAGGAACAATCGATCGGACTTAATATATTCCTTTTGTGTCACAGCACATGAGTGACTGTCCCTGGGCACACAACAGGAGCTCAAACTAGTCAATATCTTCAGTTAGTTTATGGAACTCAATTCTTTCAATATAAGGGGAAGCCCTACTAAGAATTTATAACCATTCCCCTCCTCACCCCCACCCCATATCTTTATTTTCTATACTATTAAACTACTAACTCTATTTGCTTTTTTGAGTCATTCATTATGTAATTTCTATTTGGGGGTTTCTTTAAAACTGCCTATAGCATCTAATCCTATGGTATTGGTATGGGTTACGCTTAAGATGAACTATGCACACTTCTACATAGATCATTGGTGTGAATAGAGAATAATTCTCTCTCCATCCATGTCACATACCTTTTGCAAACAGATCAAACCCAAACCAATAAGTCAATTTTTACTTTTGGTGAGCCTTCACTGGGAGGCTATACATCTAAATGGGAGTAGAAGGTGTCATTTGTCTTCCTTGGAGTGCCCCGTAGGTTAGAACCACTGACCTTTATGTTATTAGCCCAACACATTAAGCACCAGAGCTGCTTTATTGGAACTACTGACATTTTTTTTAATGATCTAAAACAACATCCACTTCTGTAGTAACTTGCCTCTGGAAACCCTATGAATCTGGAAAAGGGACAAAAGTTATACAGGTGTCCAAGACGTTCCTTCATAGGGTAGCTATGAGTCGCCTAAGACTTGACAGCACTCAACAACAACAACAGCATAGACATCAGTTGGCCCAGCAGACAGAAAGTCATGCTCCCAAGCCAACAGTGGGTGACTCTACCCGTGGCCCTCAGGCCTGCCTTTAGCTGTTTTTGGTGAAACATTCTTCTAGGTCATATAACCCTGGTGTTTCCACTTGCTGTACAGAAAACTCGTGGTTGCTATGAAGCCAAACACTGACACTGATGAGTCAAATGCGAGAATGGTTACCCATGGTGGACAGTGTTTGGTGGAGTTCCCCGATTAAAACAAGCTTGGAAGCAGGAGTGGCATCCACTTCTGTAATAGCTTGCCTCAGGAAACCCTATGAGCCTGGAGAAAGGATGAAAGTCACACAGGTTTCCAGGTCTTTCATTCATAGGGTCGCTATGAGTCACCTATGACTTGACGGCTCTCAACAACTATAACAACAACAACACAACACAACATTTTTTTTAAATGGCCATTTTTAAGGTACTATAACATGTAATCAAATAACTATAAAGAAATGGCATCATTGTTTCACCAGATTTTATTTTAATGGAACTACATAAATTATATATATATATATATATATATATATATATATAACCAAATAAACATGTTTCTGAGTTGTGTAATATAATAAAAGTATAAAATGTGAAAGAACAGTTGATTCAGCTGGTTTACAAGTCTCTCTTTCAAAAGGCAGTCCAAGCAGCTCCACAGATAGTAAGTGATAGAGTGGAAAAACCCACCTACAAACAGGCAAACCAGCACATTTCTAACTGTAGGGACTATCCCATGGTAAACTTCAGTTACATGAAATTGTTCTAGATACTGACTCTGGGCAAAACAACTTCAAATGCCCAGCAAATTCTCTTTGAAAGAGGAAGTTTATAAATATTGAATAGTTCAAACACCTACACATTCTCCTGGGGTCCGGATGAGCTCCGTGTCTTTAAGCTGTCTTTGTAGGTAAATGGAAACAGGATTATACGGCCTTATTTAGTACATGAGGCAGCTCAAATTATGGAAAGGCTGCACTGCACTTGGAGCAGAGTGAAGGTGATTGTGGTGAAGCATGCCGCGAGTGGGGACTGGTTCAATAGTTTCAAAGTGAGGACTGATTTTCATTACATTAAAGGGCAAGTGTGAGTCTACAAGGAGGCGTTTGTAACTCAGGGAGAGCCTACATCCCTTTAGCAAAATAGAAGTCTAAAACTTCCTAGAGATGTGTTTAAAAAAGCTGACTGAAGTGCCAGGCAGGGCACTCGCTGAGAGAGGAAGGTGTGAATAATTAACGTTAGTTGGAATCTGGGATGCTAATCAAGGATAAATGATTTCTGATTTCTTTCTAGTCACTGCTTCTATGGAATGGCATCGTAGTATGATTTTCATGCCAAACACCTTCCAGGTTAGTTAAGCACTATAGAAGTCACGTCCCCAAATGCCTGACCACATGAATCCACTCGCATCATGTGGGTTAACTGACTTCTGGCTAACAGGACTGTAAGTGAGGAGCAATAGACTGTTGTTCTTAAAAATTAATAAAATATGACTTATTCACAATGGAAAATAACCCTAATCTGAGGTTCTGTTTTTGTCTATTGCCTGTATGTCTCTGCTGTTATAGTGCCTTTGAGGAAAAATATTTAATTTTTAAATGCAAACTAGTATTGGTGTAAAATTACAAGAAATACACAAAATCACATATCAAGAGCATTACTTCTAAATATCTGTTGGTATCCCTCGTAAAAAATTTTAAAAACAACTATGAGATATCATCTCACCCCAGTAAGGATAGCAAAATTTAACGGGACAGCAAACAACAAATGCTGGTGAGGTTGTGGAGAAACTGGAACCCTTATTCACTGTTGGTGGGAGTGTAAAATGGAAGGCAGTATGGCGATTTCTCAAAAAGTTGCAAATAGAAATACCATATGATCCAGCAATTCCACTACCAGGAATTTACCCTAAAGAAACCATAACCGCCACCCAAGCAGATATATGCACACCCATGTTTATTGCAGCTTTGTTTGCAATAGCAAAGAGCTGGAAACAACCCAAGTGCCCATTAACAAATGAATGGATAGAGATACTCTGGTATATTCACACAATGGAATACTATGCAGCATTGAAAACAAGGAACTCATGAAATATTATGCAAAATGGATCACCCTGGTGGACATTATGCTGAGTGAAATATCTCAGTCACAAAAGGATAAATATTGCATAGGGCCACTGTTGTAAAACGGGGCTGATATCGGGGTTGAGGGAAGGTTGACAAAGAGGGGATAAATAATGTGCATTGAAACAGATGAGGGAGAGAACTGCTTAAAAGGGATATATGATTAGGTATTATTGTCATGACAAGAGTCCAGGATGAAGGCCGAACAGTGGAGTGGTCTTGGGGGGAGGGAAAACATGGCAATGAAAGAGTTTTTCTTTCACTTTTTAAGAAGAGTAAACTGGGGGGCAGGGAGTGGACAGGGAGAAAAATGCAACAATGAATGACTGAAAACCTCAAGTCTCTGTAAGCTTTCATTAAAATCAATAAAAAAGAAAATTTAAAAAAGAGCAACATTGAGAAAAAATTACCAAGAAATGGATAACCTTGCTGTTTACAAATGTTTTTTAAAACAAATGCTTTTAAATATTTAAAAAAAATTCCTTATTTCCACAAACATAGGTCCACAGTCAACAGTCTTGGCACCAGCAGCCAGGAAATTAAAAGGCGCATTGCCATGGGGAAGTCTGCTGTTAGGGACCTCTCCAAAGTACTGAAGAGCAATGGTGTCTCTCTGGAGACTAAGGTGCATCTGATACAGGCCATGGTCTTCGCAATCACTTGTTATGCATCAGAGAGTTGGACAATGACCAAGGAGAATAGAAGGAGAATTGATGCCTTTGAGCTGTGGTGCTGGAGAAGAGTATTGAGAATACCATGGACTGCTAGGAAAACAAACAGATTTGTCCTGGAA